CCAATAGTGGGAAACAGCACAGTAGGAATGGTACAGTTCCTTCTGTGAGGACAATGCAAGGCGTTAAATAGGGTCTTCTGTTTCTGGAGTGCAACAACATCAAATGTAGAACAGTTGGCAGGTTGCACACTTGATTCCAATTAGTTCCTTCCTGGAGAACTTGTTTATATAGAACACTGTGAGCTATTCAAGTTTGAGGCCAACTGAGTGGGACCAGAGAAAAATTGTACTTGGGCAAAAGGGTGCCTTTCCTGAAGAGGAGCTAAATCAGGCAAGGCCAGTCTAACAAGGGGTTACTCTCCTAATTACAGAGATTAATCTATAAAAATAGTAATTAGACACTTTTCCAAAGAGTTTATGTTGGAAGGAAAGCAGAATTATTTAAATGCGGATAATGTCAAAGGTGCTAGAGCAGGTGACTTCCTGCATGTTTTGGAACCGGAACTGTAGATGCAGTGACTTATGTACCCCGCTACACAGTAACCACATGCTTGGCCTGTGTATTGGGGTGACAGTGTGGAATGGTGGGGAGTACGCTGAAGTGGAAAGAATACATGCTTCTTTTAAAGGGAAGTTATTCAGAATGTCTCCAATAATCTTTACCTTGCAATAAATACAAGCCCAGTGTTACCAGGTACGATTTTTCAAGACAAGGTAGAAATCTGAATTTTTAGGCAAAAATCAGATTTTTAAATGTTAGCAATAAATTTAAGTTCTGATTTTTTTTTAATGTAGTGTGGATCAGAAAGAACCTGTGTGCAGGGCAGAGAGGACTTATAGCTGCCTATTTATAATCTCTGGCAGTGGAGGGGTTCTGGGAAAATTCTCTCTCCAAGTAGTTAAACCCATGACATTGAATAAAATCATTTCTTTATCTATTCATTTTGAGAGAGAGAGACAAAGAGAGTGAGTGGAGGAGGGCAGAGAGAGCAGGAGACAGAGAATCCCAGGCAGTCCCCGTGTTGTCAGTGCAGAGCCCCATACAGGGCTTGAACTCATGAACGTGAGATCATGACCTGAGCCGAAATCAAGAGTGGGACCCTTAATCAACTGAGCCACCCAGGTGCACCTGAATGAAATTGTTTTTGATCAGAGCAGATTGATACTCTTCTCACTTCCTTTCCCAATTAAGACCTCACGTTAAAATGTAAACTAGTTCCAGGTATTGGTAATGGATTCTTTGCCGTTAAAAAAAAATCAGCCATTAATGCCTTAGCTGGAATTGAATTAAGACTTTAGAAACTTAAAATTATAAAGGATATCTAAGGGGGATAGCATCTGGTGACAGATGGCCACCGCTCACGTAATTCTAAGGGTGAATTCAAACCATCCACCCCACTGCTGGAAAGCTTTAGTTGTAAATGTGTTAAGCCCACGTTTGCCTCCCTGATTTCCTCCCCAACTTCTCCATGGTGGTCTCCTGAAGCTACACACAGTAAGCATAATCTTTCCTTTCCACATGGGAATGCTGTAAATTTCTGAAGATGCTCTTGCAAGTGTCTCAATCCTGTGTGCAATTTTCCATGGCCACTTCAGGCCTTTCTCATTCCACCAGCATCTCATAACTGCTCCCCCTGCCCTTTGAGCACATCTCCACTACAGAGCTTCAGGCACGGTTTTGTTCTTTATCTGAACATAAGACTATCTTCCAGAGTAGACTGAATTTCGTGGGTGGTTGGGAGCAAGCTATATGCATTTGTGTACTCATGTCTTTTCATGTTGCTTGGTACATACTAGACACTAAGAATTGACAGAAAGAAAGAGAGAAGGAAGTTAGGAAGAAAAGAAGAAGGGAAGGAAAGAAATAAAGGAAAGAAAAAGCAAGCAAGGAAAAGAAAGAGGGAGGAAAGAATCAGTGAATGAATTTTTAGTATTGTTTCCAAATCCACCACTACCTCTTCCACGGGCATGCCTTTGTCAATGCCATTTTTAAAATGTGGGACTTGGGGCCATGGTCTGAACATGGAATCGTAAGATATGAAATTAGATCTCTTATCCTGGAAACTTAGCCAAAGATCTTGTCAGCTCCCCGCCCTCCCGCCCCACCGCACAGGTATTCTTGTTGGCTATGAAGATAGCTATCTGTCCTTGTTTTTACTTTCTTCCTGCATGAACTGCTACTAAGTCAGGTTTCCCTAAATTGGCATTTGAACTCAAGTCCCGCACTTTCTGTCTGTCCCATTAAATTTCACCCTGTTATTTGCAGCCTGACATATAAAGATCTGTGTTGGATCTCAGTTTTGCTGTCCGCCCAGTGCATGATCTTGCTGTCTCTCTCGGAGCTCAGTTTGCTGTCAGAACTATGGCTGTTGCTGAGCTGCCAGTGAGAGCCAGCTGAGATCACTGTCTTGGGGGAATGCGACTGTCAGCATAGAATGTCTTGAGCGGGATGGGCCTGGGTGGAGCTCCGCAGCAGGGGCTGCTCTGGGGACCAGGGAAGGGATGTAATTCATAGACAGGGGAGGGGGCTGAGACAATTTCTGCTGAAAGCGAATTTTACTTTTTTCACAGATTTTTCTAGGGCTCAGTCCCACCATTCTACTTTAGAAATGTGAACAGTCAGTTACTTCTTGTTTCTTTTTGCCTCCCACACATATTGAGTTAATAATTTTGCAGGTACTCTGAGCTTTATTGATGTACTCCCCAGTTTTCTTTCTGTAAAGAAATCTATGGACATGTTTTTCTCATCTAAGCATGATATCCACATCATGATTCTCACATTGACCTTCAAATCCTCATTCAAATGATGTTGATGATAATAATGTCACCTTGCTCTGTACAACAGTTTATGTTTCTCAGAGCACTTTCATGTAAATCCCTGGGTCTCTGCAGTAGTCTAATGAAAATCACAGAGCGGGTATGCTCAGGTCTACGTGACAGGTGCTCATTGCCATGGACAATGAAATAGGTGCTTCGGGAAAGCCCAACTTACTTCAGCAGAGAATGATCAGCAATAGACCTTCAGGGAAATTGAAGGAAGAACTTTTGGTGTAAGGCTATCTTTCAAAAGTTTCCTCTTACAGTTCTGACTTAAGAGAGATGGGAGCTTGCATGTTTCAAAAGCTAGGGCCAGCTTCCATTATTGTGTCTTATCTTTTTTTCTTTATAAAAAGTAAAGGAAACAAAATTGGGTAGTTTACTCTGATACAGGAAATTATTGTCTGTCTGTAAAATATGCAGTATTGCAGATATGCCAGAGATTTAAAAAATATCTAAAGAAAGCTTCCTTGGATTGGATTTACCAGAAATTTGTCTAAGTTATCGGTTCTACCAAAGAAATAGCTCTTGCAGTGATTTATCAGTTGAATTGGTTTCATCTGTTTAAAATTTATTAATGCATTTTAATTTTTTGCTTGTACTTCCTTAGTTTAAAAAAATCTTTTACTTCATTCTTAATTACTTATTTTTCTTTTCCATTTCATAAGAAACATTAAAATCTATGCATTTGCTGGATCAAATCTTGTGGACTCTGATATCTCTGTTCCATCTTCATCAAGTTTATATATGTGGTATTGTCTCAAATCTCAATGATATGTAAAGGAGATGTTAGTTTACTACTCTGTGATTCAAGAATTATTTTGGAAGATATTTTTCTATTGCCCAAGTAGTTGGGATTTTGTTTTGTTTTGTTTTTGGGTTTTGGGTTTTTTTTTTTTTTTGAACTTTTCTCTTTTTAGCTATTAGTTTCTGATTTTGCTTCATTTTTTTTTTTATTTTTATTTTATTTTTTTTTAAGTTTATTTTATTTATTTATTTATTTATTTATTTATTTATTTTTTTTTTACAAATAGTTTATTGTCAAATTAGTTTCTACATAACACTCAGTGCTCATCCCCAAAGTGCCCTCCTCCATGCCCATCCCCCCTCCCCCCCACATCCATCAGTCCTCAGTTTTTGTCAGCATTCAAGAGTCTCTCATGGTTTGCCTCTCTCCCTTTCCCCCACCATTTCCGCCCTTCTTCTCCCGCTTGTTCCTCCATCAAGTTCCTCCTAATCCTCCTATACGTGCAAACATATGATATTTGTCCTTCTCTGCCTGACTTATTTCGCTCAGCATAACACCCTCAAGGTCCATCCATGTTGCTACACATGGCCAGATTTCATTGTTTCTCATTGCCATGTAGTATTCCAGCTTCATTTTTAATTAGACAGTTCAAGGGTACTAGGTTAATTTCTTGTCGTTAAGTGAAAGGAATTAATAAGGGTCAAATAGGCAAAAATCAGTGCATTCATTGTTTGTTGCAGAAATAATGAATCAAGATATCCAGCCAACATTAGTGACTGACCATCTATTAAGTGCCAGGTACTCTGTTAGGCAGATAAAATTCTTTCTCTGTCCACAAGAACCCTACAGAAGGGGAACTGGTTGTGTTATGAATTAACAGGAATTATACCAATTGTCTTTAGACTTTCTGGTTCACTAAAAGGTTGCAACACATCTAGTTTGCACATTGCTAAACTGCAAGTCTGGGTTTCTTCATGAATGGGGTAATTGCATAAATAAGGAACTTCCCTATTTTATAATTATTTTAAAATGAAGGACCTATAAAATTGGAAAGTCGTTTACCTTGAGCTAACAACTAATTGAGCTCCTCACTGCACAGACCTCTGATAAGGCACTGGCACTGGGTACATATGGTCATAAGCTTTTGTCAAATTTGAGAAGGTAGGATTTTTCAGTTCTTTTTCTTAACAGGTTCTCCTGGATCAGCCAAACTTCTAGTCAGAGCAGGATATTGGTGGTGAAGTGTGGGGATGCAGTATTTCTGCAATACTAGTTCCCATGAAAGAACAGAATTTGGACAGACTTTGTCAAACAACTGACATGTTGCTTTTCTTTTTTCCTGAGGAGAAAATTAATTTAGCAATTTCCATTCCTCTTTCCACCCTCCCCCTTCCTGCCCTGTCTCCCTTCCTCCCCACCGATGAAATAAACATGTGTTTTGAACTCAAAATACCATCATTTGTATGAGACCAATTAGCACTTAATTTCAGTTTACCTCCAGCACATATGGTGGATGGTTCAGCTGCTAAAATTTCGATGCAGGACTTCTTCAAAATCTAGAAAGAGAGGAAATCAAAACGTCAAAGCACTACTTATTTTATTAGAAGCTGGGTTTTTCTTTTAGTTACCAACATAAGAAGGTTCAAGGACATTATGTCATAGCGGGTGGGTGAGTGGTAACATCTTTACTAATATTAACATCAAACATTTAATAAGCCAACATTATGTTAGATGCCTCTGGGTGTCCCAAATACCATGAGAATTATTCATTCAGTTGTTCTTTCGGCAGTTACTTAGTGAGTCTATGATATGCCAGTCTTGGTTATGAGGCGTTTAGCATCTAGTTGGGGAAATGGGACTTACACTTGAAAAGATAAATAACGATGGCTTGTCATTGGGGTAGGTGCAGGGTGAGAGGGCAGATACTAGGAGCTGTGGACTTCATGGGGAAAACTCCCAAGGGAGGGGTGGTAATTGGGAAGGACTTTATGGAAGAGGTCGGTGCTGAGGGTAGGACTCTGTCAGGTGGACAGGAGTGAGTTAGGGAAAGGTTGGGATCCAGGCATGGAATGGCCTGAGCAAAGGTGAGAAAGTAGAAATATATAAACCTCTTTAGCTGAACCTCTTTCAAGGAGCTTGAAAAGTAAAAATAAAAGAGTGATAATAGATAAAGCTAGAGAAGTAAGATTGAGAATCATTTTCAGATTACTCAGAATTCCCTTTTTGTTAGAAAAGTCTGGAAAGAAGTTTCTAGAGAGGACACTGAAGGCTGCTCGTTGTGCCTCACTCTTTGGACCCTGATAGCCACAAATGAAAATGAAACTGGACTCTTCCCTCCAGAAGAGTGTCGTGTAGAGTTGAAAGTGTCAAGGAACTCCATGACCACACAGGGAGTTAATCAAGGCTGCTTCTGGCCAAAGCAGGTTATCTGACTGGTAACCATAAGCGCTCTTCACCATTGATGAATCTTTGTCTTCTTGAATATTGATTCTCAAATTTCATCCAAGCATTTTAAACAAGTATAGGACACTGAGTTAATTTACCAAGTAAATGAAATTTCCTCCCTTACTTGGGCCTTACTTAATTTGGAACTTGAGATGGTTCAGAGGGCTGAAGGAAACCATTTCTCTATTTATGAAAGGGGCATTTGTTGAAGGAATTAATAGTGAAATTATAACATTTAAAGTCTGAAAAAGGAAAAAAGCTCCTTTTGGCTTTGGGAAACACCCATTTATTTGCATTAATGTATTTATATATGCTTCTTTGTCCCAGCTTAAGTGGTACAGATACCATAAGATATAATAAATTACAAAAGGGGAGGGAATGGGTTAAAAGAAAAATAAGGGGAAGATGAAGTAAGGAATGAGAAAAGCATAGAAAAAAATATACTGTGAAGGGGCGCCTGGGTGGCTTAGTCGGTTAAGCGTCCGACTTTCGCTTGGGTCATGATCTCGCCGTTTGTGGGTTCGAGCCCCGCGTCGGGCTCTGTGCTGACTGCCAGCTCAGAGCCTGGAGCCTGTTTCAGTCTGTGACTCCCTCTCTCTCTGACCCTCCCCTGCTCACGCTGTCTCTCTCTCCTAGAAATAAATAAAACATTAAAAAAAAAAAAATATACTGTGAAGAACGTACTCCCTTGCTAGGGATGGTTCATGAATTTAGTTCTAAGCTTTCTAGTAGCAAATGAGAAGGACAGGCAATATTTATGAGATTCTCAATCACTAGAATAAAAACAAACCAGTTTCTCAAAAGAGATAATATTTACCCATTCCAGAGAGAGATCTGGGCGTCCTCATAGAGAAGCATTGTGAAAGGAAATGAAGAAAATGAAGACCATACTTCAGAAAATCTGTATTTCATGTGCAGATGACAACACACTAACATTTAGTCATCGAAACAGGCTCTCTCACAATCATGTCTTTTAGGTCATTCTATACACCAAACGTCCTAAGAAGCAGTATTTCTTTCTTTCTTTTTTTTTTTTTGACAATTCTAGAATTCAGATTTTCAGCTACTTTTATTCCTTTCTGAGCTCTTGTACAATTTAAAGGTATTATCCTACATTGATTCCTCTATTTGTTTTCAGCTTCTACATGATTCCACAGTCGGAAGGAATTTGTTACTTTTTGTCAGCATTTGCCTTGTTTTTTGGCCCCTGCTTTACCCAGCCATTCCCACCTCAAACACAGGTATAGCCTCAGATCTCCACTAACCCCGGGCACTGTTTTGACAGAAGAACAAAGTCCCCACGTCTATGTCCATCTTGGGTAGAGTGAGTGGTCTTCACACACCTGGCTCTAGGGATCTGGTATCACCACTGAACTCCTGAGTCCCCTTCATGGTCATTCTGACGTGGGATCAGTGTCTCCCAAGGATGTATGCGTGGCATCCGTATTTCCCTACTGGCTTCTCCACCTTCCCCATTCCATGATTTATCTAGACCTTTATTAGGTCTCTTACATAGAAGCAACATCCTAGGACTGGGGCTTGCCAGAATCCTGGTGTGCAGGGACTCATATCCCAGATGACAATGGTCCTACTTGAATCATGATGACTGTCCACACTCTCTCCCAACCACGTTTGCTGCCATTGGGCTCTTCCTGACAGAAGAGCCACCTCAGCTGGTGGGTGCCTTGACTTAGGGAGGTAGCCACACCTTTCCACATGTCCTCAGGCACAAATCTCCACAAACAGGCCACATTGGAAGAAATAGAATTAACCCATATGGAGAAACTTAGTAAACAGTGGCATCAGAACAAAACAAAGCTATTTTTTTCCAATGTTTTAAATAAAATTCCTCAGGTTCATGGCATCTCTTAATAAATCGTTTTATCATCCACAACTAAAGATTTCAAAATAGTCCAAGGATAAATACTGAGCTATTGGATCTATCCAGTCCCCATTCCCAATCTCCATCAAAACATGTAAATGAAATATTCACCCATGTAAGTTCCTGACTTTGAACCAATATTTTTTTTTAATGTTTTTTATTTATTTATTTCTAGGAGAGAGAGAGAGAGAGACAGCGTGAGCAGGGGAGGGTCAGAGAGAGAGGGAGTCACAGACTGAAACAGGCTCCAGGCTCTGAGCTGGCAGCCAGCACAGAGCCCGACGCGGGGCTCGAACCCACGAACCGCGAGATCCTGACCTAAGCGAAAGTCGGACGCTCAACCGACTAAGCCACCCAGGCGCCCCTGAACCAGTATTTTTGATCCAACGTTAATACTGAACCAGGGGTTGGTAGAGGAAAGCACCCGTGAATCTCTGACCACAAAGACACACTAGCAGGTTTTGTCATAATAAACACATGCTGTATTATTCTCTCAAAGCGTCTGCAATTAGTTGATAAATCTAAGGAGTGTATGAAGGGCCAAAAAATGTCAGCCAAGCACTATGATTCAATCCAGTAAAAACACAGCTTTCCCAATCCTAACTTAAAACATCTGGAAGGGATATACTGCAGCCAATAGAGCAAAATTTATCAGTGAGGGGGATGGGCAGGATTTGTCTGGGACTGCGGCTTCTATTAGTTTGAAATGTCTGGTTTCAAAAGGTAGGAAGTCACCATGGCAGTAGGTGGATTTGTGGGGTTCCCTTGGTTATTAGCAGCCCAGACTATAATCAGTCTGTCTGAGCTGCAGGAGACAATAGATCAGCTTAGGGTCTGGATACTGGATGAGAGTGGTGGGGGCAGGAGATCTATCCCCCACGTGAGCCATGGTAGCCATGGAAGAGTTGCAGATAGAGCACTGGGAAATCAGTTGAGGAAGTGGAATGGACTCATACAGGGGTCAGGGTGATGTCAGAGGTGAGAATGTAACTGGCCTCTGATGGAGACCAAGCTAAGACCACCATATGCCTCAAGTATAATCCAATGTGAGGAGTGGGTCTTTGCCCTGTTTTGTCCCTAACCTGACCTATGGTCCTTGACAAATCCTTTAACCTCTCTGAATGGCAATTTTGGAGAGCTGTTTAACATACTGAGGATAGCTTGGAATCTGGAATTAAATTGCTTGGGTCAAGTCCCTCATGAGCAGTGTGACCTTGGGCAAGTTCCATAACCTCTCTGTGTCTCTGTTTCCTCATTTATAAACAGTACCTATTGCATAAGGTTGTTGAGTTGCAAAGATTAAAGGATATAATACCAGCAGAGTCTGTAGCACAGTACCTGGAATCCCAAAAGTTCTCAACTAATGGTAACTATTATTCAGAAGAGCTTGGGCCTGGAGGCAGGATAAGATAGATTTGAGCTTTGAACAGATTTATGTTCAAATCTGAGCTACCACTTACTGGCCAAGTGTACTTGGACAAGTTATTAGAGCTCAGTTTCCTCTTCTGTAAAAGGGGGATAAGAAATACACTGACCCTAAAGGGCTGTATGATGGTAAAATGAAATGACTGACATAAATGCAAAGATAGGTAGTTTGTAAATTCAACCCGACTTACATGGTCAAATTCATATTGGATTGGAGAGTCAGGAAGGGAGTGAGTTCAAGGAAAACTGGCAAGGTTTCTGTCTTATAGACACATCTAGACAGATGTGAATGGTCGGTTGATAGGAATTTAATGAGTCTTGGGCCATCAGACAACAAGAGTCCTTCATGAAAATTAGGCACCGGGAATGTGCTCAGAACAATCTTAGTAGATAAGCACTTAAGAGAATGTCTGACATACATTTGGTTCCCAAACAATGGTAGCTGTTACTATTACTTTTGTTAATACTACTATTATTTCTACTTCTCTCAGGCAAAGACAGTAGTAGCTCATTATACGTTTCTATCCCATCACCCATCCCTGGCTCCTGCTTAATCATATCTGCTGAAAAAGAAACCCAAAAGATGGCTAATAATATTTTCCTGCCACTTTTGGGGCAGATTTCAAAAAGAAGATATATGGGACAGCACATCTGAAATCCACAAAGAACTAGATAAATGCAATGCATTGCTACTGGTATGGTTACTTTTGCTCATTTCATTAGATTGTCAGGGGAGTAAGAGGAGCAACAGATGTAAAAGAACTTTGCCAAGTAATAAGAGCTATTTAATATAGTTAAAGTGAA